GGAGAGAAAAAAGAAGACTGCAGATGGGAAGGGAAGAGAATTAATAAGGAAAATGGGGAAGGGAAACAGTAAGGCTAGAGCTGGAGAAAGAGCAAAGGGGAAAGATCTGTGGGGATGCAAGAAGACTGGATAGATCAGGAAGCGCCTCTTTCAATCTCTCCCTCCCCTGCCAGCCTTTAGCCTTGCTATTTCTCTTTCCTACCACCTCCTGACTAGCCAGGCCCCCATGGCAGCCATTATGTGAGTAGACACATCCTCTATGGGAGGCATTTTGTATTGGTGCCCACAACAGTCTTTTAAATTCACAAGCCTGCCTCAATCCAAAAAGATTGAGAACTCCTAGTATACACAGTATCAGTCAGGCCCTTTCTATCTAGTTTGGGCCCTCAGTGAAATTGAACTACCTGCAAATACTTGGCATGGAATCTCTAGTCTGAGGTTCACGTTGATGTGTAGATTTCAAGCCTAGATTCCTATAATTAGGACTGATTCAAAAACTGATCACACCGAATGGGTTTTGAGTGGATTCGGGTAGAGTTCTGCTCATGATAATAATGTGATTGCTTCAGTTATGTGCTCAGCTTTCAACTCAAAACACAAAACAACTGATTTTGAGTTCAGATGTGGCTTAAGTCATGAACTGGGTGCAAGTTGAAACACACGATAACTGTATGCAGAATTTTGCTTGAATCTAATCAACTAGATATCCTCACCAAGATGTCAGACCAGTTGCCTCTGGAACAATATCTCATCAGCAAATTTGCACAAGTTCAATTCACTACGTTTCTATATCATGCAAAGCTCTCTATGTGGTTTACAAAATACTTACTGACAACATTTTGATGAATATCAGTCCTGTGTGATCCACCCTACCCTGTTCATTTGCTGCACATCTGTCTGCTGCAGATATTTGTTAGTGCTATCAGAGCATCTTAGAGTGATGTTGGTTAGTAGGAAACCATCACCTTGTTCCTGGTTGAACACATTTCTTCTATCCCATCACAGAAACCCTGACTTGCAGACATCACTTTAGCAACTAAAATAAGAATAGGATTTTTCACCAGTTTGAAACTGTCACTTCTGCCTTGCAAAAGAGCAGTGGAAAAACTTTAGTCTCTGAAGTGAGCAGGTGAAGCTCCAGGACTTAGCAGGTTAAAGAATGACCCAGTTTTTAAGATGCCTTAGCAAACCAATGAGAAAAACTGCAGGGAAGGAAGCCCTCAGCTTGCATCTCTCCAAACCAGAAGATGTATAATCTCTAGAAAGCAAAGTCCCTCTGGCCACTACCTTTATTTATTCTACGTCCGATCACACACTATTCTCTCTAATATCTTTGCAACCCAATTAACAGGCACTTCTGTTTCTCTTCTAGCAAGCTTCGGAGCTTAGCCAACGTATGTTAATCTTAATAGCATCAGGTGCCCGGTGTCTTTTTCACATTACTAACCCAATAGAACATTAAACTGCAGTTGAAAAAGAGTCTCCCAGACATCCTGCTGCAGTCTTGGAGCTGTACATCCTCCTTTCTATTCTACTGCAGACCAACTCCCCACATTAAGCCACCAGCCAGCGCTTCCCTGTTTATCTGCAACATGAGCTCCAGTGAAATAAACATGCAGCAGTTTCTAACTGAACACACAGACACACAAACACACGTGCAGCACTGCACTGATTGCAATGCGGAAGGGGGGATGGTGGGTTCTCCCTCTTTTCTTCTTTCAGTCTTACCGTCCAAGTTGTCAGAGGCTCGCTTTTTCCCCCTTTCCCTTTTCTTCGCTTTTACTTGGAAGGGCAAGCGAATAAACAAAGCAGATGGCTTGGAATGCCCAAACCTGCCAACTGTAGCCCTGGCCCTTATAATCCACGAGGCGAGGCGTAGCTGGCCGGCTCCTTGGGTGTCAGGAAATGCAGGCAGCATAAGGGGCAAGAGGTGCTTGGAGGAGTCTGCTCTCTCCCTCAAGGCTGCTTTGCTCTGCTGTTGTGGATAGAGCTTGTCTTTGCTGGCAGCTGCTGTCTCCCTTGGTCTGAGCGCTTCCCCACTCAGCCTGACAGCTCCAGTTACCACTTTTAAGGTGGCTCTCAGACCCGAGCTGCAGAATGCTCTTCCTGCCCCCGAATAGGTTCACATCCAGTTGCGCCTAGAGATACCTTAGGTGTACACGCTGGCTCTGCCTTCTCAGCATAAATGAGAAAAAGCCACCCGTCTGCAGAGGATGCATTGAGGAAACAGCCATGCCTTTGACTGCTCCTTTTCTTTGTATTTGTATGATTTCATCATGCACCGAAATGTTTTGCTTGTTAAGGCTGAGCAGGAGTGAGTTTGCTTCTACTAGGCAAGAGTTCTATAAGGCACCCACAAACCTCCTTAGTGTGCTGTTGTCCCTACCTCCTGGCACTCCCTTAAATTCATAGCACTAATTGAATTGCCTCCCCATTTCCAGCTGATTGATCTCCTCCCATTTTGCATTAGATTTCAGTCTGGACCTGCAAATCCTAGGTGGCTGAATCCTCTGATGAAATCAGTTTTGGTTAGCCCTCAGTTCCAAAATGTTTAAAGATAAAATTTCTGGCTTCCTGTGGCATCCATTCATACAGAACATTTTGATCGACAGCCATAAACCAGTTTCAAACCCAGTTAACTTTCCTGATTTTCAGTGGGGAAACTGTTTCTCTGAAAGGAAACCTCTGTCAAATAATTCTCACACTCTTACTAAGTTTTCAGGACTCTTTGATGCTGGTGCGGAAGCAACATCTAGTAGACTTTGTGAAAACTAGTCCCATAACAAGCTTATATTCATATAGCACTTGTGTATATGTCCCGACTGCTTCACTTTCTGCTCTTTTTGTCCCCACATGTACTGCTGACACAAATACAATTTGCACATGTCTCTCTAAAGGACATCATAGAATTAGAAGGAATATTGGAGGTCTAATGAAGGGGCAAAAAACAGCTTTGAGAGGTCTGGGGAGTTGCCACCTCCCCACCACAGCACAGAGGTATCAAGAACAGGGAAGGGGCTAAAGTTCTTTAAAAATGGCACTTAAAGCTGCCACAGGCTCAGAACAAAATTATTTATTTATTTAAAACATTTCTATGCCGCCCCTTTCGCAACAAAGCCTCCGGGCAGCTCACAAAATTAGCTTGCAAACAGCCTAATTTTGACCTATTTGACAAGGGCTCAAACAGCAGTTCGAGATGCTGTTTTATTTGGATTTTGAAAAACCCCTTTCATTTGGTCCCCCACCCCCATGTCAAGGTATCAGGGAAACGTACTGGGTAGTCCACATGCCACCCATCCCTGATGTAATCCATGCCCTTCTTTAATGCTGGCTCTTCAATCCCTGACAGATGGCTGCCAGCTCCTTTATCTATAATTAAGCAGAGCCCACCACCTCCGAAGACTAGCTGTTCTCCTGCTTAGTAGCTCTCATATTGTTTAGCCAAAATCTGCTTCCCTGCTATTTCCACCATGGGCCAAAATCCTGCCCTCTGCAGCAATAAGAAACATCTCTGCTCCATTTTCTACATGGCAGGCTTTCAGATACTTGAAGAATGTTATGTCCACCCTTAGTTTTTTCTTCTCCCATCTAAACATACTCTTTCAGTCATTCCTGATAGGACTTGGGTGTCATAATGCGTATGGTCACTCTTCTCTGAGCAAATGTTCAAGTCTGCCTGCGCTTCTTTGTTTAATGCCTGGAAAGAATGAGCAGGTTTTATATTTTCTTTCACTGTTTCCTTCTAATGTATCAAGTGGCCCTTGCCTAAATGTGAAGGTACATTCACCTGCGCTGATCCTCTGGGCTGGCAAAGGGTTACACAGGAAGAGCGTGGAATGTGCAGTTCCCAGGATTGGCTTTCTGCTGTCTGAGTTTGGCTGTGGTGGGGCAGAGGGTGACACCTGTCTCCCTCTAACGCTTCCAATGGTGTGTTGTGGTGCTGGACTAGAAGACTCCTTGTGGATGACCTTTGATGAAGAATTCACACAGAATGCCTCAACACAGAGCGATGCTACCTGTGACTGAGACTTCCATTCAGCCATGGAATTGCCTTGCTCCCATCCTCAAAAGAGCTGTGCTGGATTAGCTCAAGCATCTATCTAGTCCATCATTCTGTCCACACAGTGGTCAAACAGCTGCCCACAGGAAGCCCACTAGTAGCACATGACTGCAACATCACCCTCCTGCCCATATACCCCAGTGATCAGTGTACATAGACATGGTGCCTCTGATACTGAAGATACCATATAACCACCAGAACCAGTAGCCATGGATTGCCTTATACTTCCTGAACCTTTTTAATTACCTTTAAAACAAGCCAACAACCACATTTGAAGGTCCACCAGTATGAGTTAGCAATACCACCACACAGTTGCCTGATACCCCTGGAAAGGGGCTTTACTGACTCTCAAAGGGAAGATGCAATGCCTGGCTATTACTAGGCCTGGCAGAGTAGTGGGGGCAGGCCCTTGTATCAATATCACAGCAACGCTTTAAGATATTTATTCTATACTAGCCAATATTTGAAGCTCTCTGGGTAGTTGACAGCAAAAAGGCTAATATCTGCTACCCTAGTCATAATCTCTTGCTCTCTCACCAAAAATATATTGTTTCCTGTTGTGATGAAAAGTATTTTGAAGTAGCTTGATCTTGGATGGGCAATAAGGACATGCTCCTGGCGGGAAGGAGGACAGCCAGAAGAGGTTTGTTGCTATGAATCAGCACAGCTGTCTGCATTTTCAGCTCTCTTTGGAGGTGCAGCTATGGGGATGATCATGGGGAGCACCTGCATTGCAACATTTGCCTCTCTATCACTGGCTACAAGATAGAGCCAAGCAAATTTACTGACATTGACTACAAAGAAGCAAGGACAGTTGACTGGTGGGCCATTTTAGTGAAAAATAGACTACTGAATTTGACAAAGAACAGTGCAAGAGTCCCATTTTCCTTCTCCAATGAGATCTATATCTCGTTTACATCTACTGCAGGTGAGGCAGTGGCTGTGCTGAACCGGTGCCTGGCCGAGGTAATGGGCTGGATGAGGGCCAATAAACTGAGCCTCAACCCAGATAAGATGGAAGTCCTGTTGATGGGTGGTTTGGATAGTGATTTTTGTCCTGTCCTGGATGGGGTAGCAGTCTCTAAAGGACAGGGGCCACAGCTTTTGAGTGCTCCTTGACCCAGAGCTGTCACTGGAAACCCAGGTGGCGGCGGTAAGAAGTGCTTTCCTACAGCTTTGGCTGGTCCATCAGCTGTGTCCTTACCTGGAAGAGCACTGCCTAGCGATGGTAAGTCATGCTCTGGTAAGCTCCTGGTTGGATTACTGTAATGCGCTTTATGTGGGACTGCCCTTGAAAATGGTCCAGATACTTCAGCTGGCCAGACTGCTGATGGGGACTGGCCGTTATTCCCATATAACACCGGTCCTCTGCCAGCTCAACTGGCTTCCAGTTGAAGTCTGGGCCCAATTCAAGGTGCTGGTTTTGACCTTTAAAGCCCTCAACGGCTTGGAACCAGGATACCCGAAGGAACATCTCCTTCCTTATACAGCCTCATGCCCCTTAAGATCTGTGGGAGAGGCCCTGCTCCGAGAATCCTCCCTAAAGGAGCTAAAAAGGACATCTACTCAGAACAGGGCCTTCTCTGAGGTGGTGCCCAGATTATGGAATTCGCTCCCCAGCAAGATTCGCCTGGCAACAAGCCTATATTCTTTTTGGCACCGGGTTAAAACCTTTTTATTTAATCATTATTTTAAAAATTAGTATTTATCGTTTTACAGTTACTTTTGTTTTGTTTTGTATTGGCTTTGATAATTTATTGAATTGTATTGTTTATGACTGTTCTTATGGTTTTTGCTTTTAATCCTGTAAGCCATCCTGAGACATGATAGTGAAGGACGACATACAAATGTTTGAAATAAAATAAATAAATAAAGATACTGACAAAAGAACTCTGTCAGCATCCCTGGTCTGCCATGCACAGTCACCTACTTGTGGCATCTGAAACACAGGTATGACTTGCATCCCTCTAGGGATGTCACCCAAGTAAAGAAAGCTTAGATGATTAATATGCATAAATTGCATATGAGAAAAAATAACTTAAAGGAGTAAGAAGTACTTTGTTTGCAGATGATGTACATATTGTCTGCAGGCAGGCAGATGCCATATCATTTGCTCACACCAGAAGACAACTAGGGGGCAATCCAATGCCCTCACACCTTGTGGCCTCCACTGGCAGCCATATTCAGTAGTCTAGATGAAGTGGAGAGGGGAGGTGGCTAGAGCACCATCTGAATATGGTGTCGCTTGTTGGCCCCAGCCTTCTCCCCTCCCTGCTTCCTGGCATGCCCTTGTCCCTCCTCTCCATAGCCAGTTTGTGAACTCAGAAAGGCAACTAGTGTGGTTCTTTTCACACTGACTGTGAGGGGTTTAGGGCAGCAGCTCAGCCTTTCAAGTCCCTTCACCAATATCACATCACCCATGGCCCCTAGATAAAGGCAGGAAGCCAGCAGATTGCATCTCTATTGTTGTTTTACATAATTAAAGCATTTCATTATCCAAAATGTTCCTCTTGTTAGTAACCTGCTAGGTTTGAATTAAAAATCGATTTTAGTTTAGTGCGTACTGAAAAAGTAATACACAAATCTGCCAACCTACTAACCAGAGACACAATTTTTAGATGATTCAATCAATTAATTCAACCACTTATTTGATTACGTTGCAGCCCGAATTATTCTTGACTAATATAATCTGACAATACATAATTACCTTTATGGTGTTGCAAGATGTACTGGTGTGGGAAATGGGTATATCTTTCAGCTCCTGCAAAAATATGTAGAAACCCAGAGCTGGATGTTGATCAGAGATGCCTTCTGATACTGGAGCTGGGATGGGGGTGAGGGTACCAAACTGTGTCAGACCACAGGCTAATGATCTA